AAAGCCCGGAGACATCCAGCTCGTCCTTTGTTGATGTGGTCAATCAAGAATGGATCATCTCTTTCTCAGCGGCCATTCGCTTCCATGACCGAAATGCGATCGACCAGTGGATGCAGCTTGGCTTTGCGGTGACTAAGGACAAAACATTCTTCAGGAAGCAAAGTGCCGATAAGATGTTTTCAGTATCGCTTAGCATCGGCATTATTTCTCTGCGTGGAGAAGTTGTACGGAAAGTATGTGAGATATTAAGGGGCTATATTACAAAGGCGAATGAGGCTCGCCGTAGAGGAATTTTCCCCTATCTACAGCTCTATGTTGGGCAACTTCCAGCCGCGCTACTGCTTCAACTCTCTACGCGGCTTGATCGCAAGGACTTTGATATCCTGGAAGCGTATACGGTATGCCACTGCTCAGAAATAAACAGGTCATCAGTATACATCGAGCAGGTACTTTCGAAGGCTGCCTCCTTGCACATTGCACATATGGGCTGCGTTCATTCGGCAATTTCTTGTTGTCAGAGCATCTGCATTACAGTATCACGCACTGATCAACGCATTAAGGATCGATTGTGTTGACCTACCTGAGAGCTATGGTAGAGGAGCACTCAAGATCACACCTGACAAAGAATGCCCAGGTACCTTCCTAACCCAAAATATGCATCAACTTCGCACATTCTGTCCCTCCACATCACATGAAGTGCACTTACAATGCTACTTCTCCGACAGAAATGCTACCGTTGACGAGGTTAGCAGAGAGCTTGAAAGCTTTGGAACCATGCCTACATATTTGAGGATTACGCAGATCGAAGGCGACGCGCGGACTATTATATCTCGCCGCGGGGGCGCAAACGCGGGACACTCATATATACAAAAGTCTTCGTATATTGAAGCGTCCGAATATTGATATTACAAAACAATCTCTTCAATATAATATGTTCAAAAACATATTGCAGTCTCCGAGCAAAGCGTGCGACACACTCGTTTTCCTTCTTGTGCACAGGCCTGTGGCCAACGGGGTCGTTCGAGGAGTGCCGCCGTTCTGGCAGCTTGCAAAGCCCAACAAGTTAAGATGCACAAGATAAGAACGCGAAGGCTCTTACTTGAGGCACGAAGGCACAGCATCTCAACCCTCATGTACATTGGGGAGGGCGGGCGGGTGTGAAAAATTTCCATGTCAAGTGCTCATATGTGTTTTGACACGAAGGCCATGCATCTATGTGTTCTGACACGAAGGCCAAGTATGCACACATGTTTGTTCTGACACGAAGGTCTTTGCTGAGCACTGAAAGCGGCAGCATGATGTTGAATGAATGTCTCACGCAACCGCAGCTTGCTTCGACCATTCAAATCAAAATGAAAAATCTTGCAAAACTCAAAATTCGTGCTCACATGAAATCTCCATGCACTAGCTATGCGCCCCGCCGCAAGATAGAGCTAGCACTTGCGGTGAGTGGATTCATCTCGCCGCNNAAAATTCATCGTATATTGAAGTGTCCGAATATATTAAAATTTCAGAACAGTCTCTTCAATATAATATATTCAAAAACATATTGCAGTCACCGAGCAAAGCTTGCGACACACTCGTTTTCCTTCTTGTGCACAGGCCTGTGGCCAACGGGGTCGTTCGAGGAGTGCCGCCGTTCTGGCAGCTTGCAAAGCCCAACAAGTTAAGATGCACAAGATAAGAACGCGAAGGCTCTTACTTGAGGCACGAAGGCACAGCATCTCAACCCCTCTTTTCACCATAAGTCTGGGCCATGACATCCAAGAACGACCTTCCCTGCAGGAGTGCAGACACCAGACTTGAAGGAGCGTGCCACGGCTCTTCAAGAGTGCAGGAAAACAGTTTCGCGGCTAAGCCCGCCTCTTGCCGCGAAGGGAGATCGGCAGGATTGCTTTTAGACGGGATCCTGGTGGTCCACATCGACAGGCGATCCGAATCCAAGCATCGCGAGATTATCGCCAACATGGCGAACACATCTGCAACCTTAGAGCTGCCCTTGATGACTGCATCTCTGACTCCGTTGTTATCCAAGAACAAGAGGATCCTGCGACCTTGCAATTTTGGCCCGCATCGTTCAAGTGTCACCAACACTGGCCAGAGTTCCAAGTGGGTGATGATCTGCTTCCGGTCTTTCAACGAGACCCAAAAATTGACAAGCTCCTCGGGGACTGCTATTTCCGCTACAACTCGCTTCTTGCAAAGCGGGTCAAG